TGTTTTTGTTGTTTGTCTTTTGTTCTCAAAGAAGACCAATGACATCAGGAGGGTGATGTCTTTCTTGACTTGCAAGTGAAGTGGATTTAAGTGAGGCAGAGCTGTGCAAACTCATCAGCTTCACTCTGTCCTCCAGAGTCATCGGAGTCCAGTGGCAAGACGTAGATCAGGATGACTGGTAATGGGCCCGGATACAGTGGGAGACCTTGGCCTTTTTAAGCTAACCTCTTCCCAAGGTCTCAGTTTGTCTGAGGCAACACCATTCTTTTGTAACTACTCTCTGCAAGGTCACTAGGGACCTCCTAAAAAGAATCTTTTTTTAGTCTTCATTCTCCATGACTTCTCTGCATTCAATGCTTGTTCAACCACCCCCTTCTTTGAATGTTCTTCTGCCTTTGCTTTATGCCACTTTTCCTGTTTGGTTATTCCTTGTTTTTCTCCTTCATTGCTTCTGCTTTTTTCTTTCATCCCCTAAATGTGACTGTACTCCAAAACTTAATCCTTGGCCCTCTGCTTTTTTCTATAAATTCTCTTTCCCTCTTTAGTCTCACCTGCTCTTGTGGTTTTGACCATCACATCTACATGAATAAGTCTCCAATCTATGTCTGCATCTCTAATCTCTCTCACAAGCTGTAATTCCACATCACTATCAGCCAGACAGACATGTCTGCTTTGATGGTTCCCGCTACAGCATCAAGTTCAAAATAGCTAAAAGAGAATTCTTCATCTTTCCCTACAAATGGCCTCCTCCTCCAACCTTTCTATTTCTCTCAGTAGTACCTTTAAGTAAAAAATTGCTCAGATTTGCTGGGAAAAGGAAACGTCAGACTGTCAACAAACCCAGTGATTCTTTCTTGCATAGTGCCCTCATTTCTATCCTTTCCATTCCATAATATCCTAAACCAGCCCTGGTTATTTTCTGCCTGGGCTATTGCAATCTAACTGGTTTCTCCACTTTCAGTCTCTTCACTTTCCAGTCCATGCTTATACCACTGCCTGATTCCTGGTCTCAAAACTCTACTCTCATCGTATTATTTCCCCTCGCCTTTTCCTAACCCTAAACCCTTCCCCACTTACGTACAGTTATCCCTTCCATATCCTTCTGGAAAACCTGTGTAAAATTTCTTGGCCCTCCCATCACACTAGAGAAGAAGTCTGAATTATTATGGTATTAAAAGATAAAATATGTTGATATTATACAATATTTTACATATATTTTATACATTTCTGAGTTTTTGAAGTTTTTCTATGTCATCTGCTGGCCTTCATATGTCATTTGCAGCTTCCACAAAACTCCCCCGAAATTCTCATTTAATTTCTTATGCCAACACGCGATATATTGAAACCACAGTGGGGAAAGTTACAATGTGGCAGGGATAACTGTATAAGCTTTCAATACCCCTCCCCTACTCCCTGTATCCTATGGAATAAAATCTAAATATTTTATGCTGGCATTTAGGACCCTCTGAAATCTTGCCTCAAACTATATGTACAGTCTTTTCTTCCTCTGCTATCTTGTGGAAACCCAGTCATTGTGGTATAAAAAAGAAAAGCATTGAACTTGGAGCTGAGAGAGTTGTGGGTTCAAATCCCACCTTTGTCACTAGCATAACATGACTTGATAAGTACTTTTAATGGAAAGTAATTAAACTACTTTGAACTTGTTTCCTTATTTGTAAAATAATGCAGAATAATACTAATAATATTTACCTCACTTGGTTGTTGTGAAGTTCAAAAGTACTTGTCACTCCCCAGCTCAGGAAGTTCCAGTGGTTCCCCCTTGCCTTCAGGAGAAATACAAAATTCTGTTTGTCCTTGAAACCCTTTACCATTTAACTACAGCCTGCCTTTTGTGGTGCTTAGTGTAATACTGCTCTCCTTTACACACACTATATTCCAGCCAAACCGGCCTACTTTACTGATCCGTACACATGAATTTCCATTTGCCATCGCCATGCTTTTGTCCAGGTTGTGCCCCATGTCTGGAATGCACTTCCTTCTCATTTCTATATAAAATTTCTAGTTTCCTTCAAAGCCTAGTTCCAGTGCTATCTCCACCTTATCTTGATTTATGCCCCTACCCACCCACAGTTATAAGAGCCTTTCCCCCTGAAAATTATTTTCTATATTTAGTATTTACTTTTCTTCTCTTCCTCCTGGTTTCTCTGCTTTCCTTCAAGTCTCAGCTAAAATCCCGCCATCTACAAGAAGCCTTTCCCCTTTAATCTAGTGCCGTCCCTCTGTGATTTGTTTCCACTTTATCCTGTCTATATATCATGTTTGTACATAGTTGTTTGAACGTCCCGCCCCCCCCCGTTAGACCCCACTTGAGAGTAGGAACTATTTTTCCCTCTCTTTTTATCCCCAGTGCTTAGCACATTGCCTGGCACATAGTAAGGGCTTAATAAATGTTTGTTGGACCTGACTGATTAAGTGCTAGGGATGCCACTAGAAGAGCAAGCCAGTCCCTGCTCCCAAGGAATTCTCCTAATGAGGAAGGTGATGCTTTAGCACCAAGAACAGGTCCCTACACAAAGGGTTGCTCAGTCCCCATGATGCCCCATTCTCCTCTGTCCCAAACCCAGGAAAAGTTGTTTGAGAGGGGAATGTTTGATTTCCCCACCACTCTCTGGGCACATTCCAGGAGGCCCATTCCCTGACCCCAAAGGACAGTGTGTTCCAGTGGCTCAGACCCCTGCTGTTCCTTCCACGTCCCCCACAGCCCCACATAGGTGTCTTTGTGTGCCGTGGGGGTGTGTTGCTCTTATCCTTCTTGCAGAAAGGCTCTTCCACGGCTCTGTAAAAACAAACATTATGGCCCCTGAGTCCTCCTACAGCAATTGTATTTTTTAATAATGTCTGAGCAAGCCATCTTCTTGGTTCTGTTTACTCCCTTGTTCTATTAGCCGCTCCAGGTTAGGCCCAAACGTATCCCTGTAAGTAATATACAACTGAGAGGACCCTTTTATGGATTCAGCTTTCAGTCTGTTCTCTTTTTACAGCCCCTACATGAGGCTTTTATATTGTTGTAATTATTTTAGTTTATATTCTTCCTTTCTATTCTCCTGTCATTTTATTCCATTTTTTTTACTTTTATTCCTGTTCTTGAGTTTTCCAGGAAGGCTGGAACATGGGGCCTGACGACCTCTTCAAAGCAGGACAAACATATGTCCAGAGTGCCAGGCCACTGCTGTTCCTCTGAATCCAGTCTCCAGGGAATGTGACTTATCCTTTGGGGAAGCAATCTGATCCTGCCTGTAGACAGCTGTGTAGAAGGAATGGGGGAGATGATATCATCTGTTCTTCCAACCAATATTGATTCAACTGCTATGATGGTTCAAATCTCACCTGTAATCCCTGACCTTGAACAAGTTACTTAACCTCCTTCAGTCTCAGTTTCCAGATCTATAAAATGGGGAAGTTGGATTCTGAGCTCCCTTTTCGTTCTATATCTATGCTGCTAGGCTAGATTTGAATTCAGAGAACCTGGATTCATATCCTAACTCTGACCCTTACTACTGATGTGACCCTGTGATTTATTCCATGGAATGCATCGTTCTAGATATTGGGGAGCTATACAGAGATGAATGACAGTAGCCCCTGCCCTCATGTTCTTTTCACATCTAAGAGATTAGGTTGTTACCCATGCCTGATCCAGGGCCCATGTCTGGACACCATTTTCCAGGGACAAGAAATGAGGAACAAGCCCAGTTAGTACAATTAAGATAAAGCAACATTTGGTTGGGTTTGCCATAGCCTTCATCATTTCTTACATCCTTGATTCTGGTACAAAGAGTAGGTTGGTTCTAAAGCAGCACAAGTTATAACATTGGAGCGAGCCAAATGCCAACAAATACCATACTCCACAGTGATACCACCAGGGAGGACCCAGGGATGAAACATCAACCCCGTTAGCGTACTGTGCCTCCCAGGCTCCAGAGTCTTTCTTCCACGATCATGCTGTACATATACACACTGACTCTCACCACATGCTTTCTCACTGCCAAGTACAAGCCCATAATTGAGAGAAAGAGAGAGAGAGAGAGAGAGAGAGAGAGAGAGAGAGAGAGAGAGAGAGAGAGAGAGA